ACTTTTCCTGGCTCCCCAAAAATACTACTTGGTGTGATCCCGGGTCATTTCCTTTCTTGGACCGCAGCTGAATCACTACACAGGCTAATCACGAAGAAGGCCTATGGAATTGGACTCCCTTGTCCTTGTACCGTGTTGGAAAGGAGAGTTCCTGCAGTAACCTGCATCATAAAACAGCGATATGTACTTCAGGAGCTGCATAAATCCCTCAGTTCCCATAAATAGAACCTGAACATTGGAGCTTGGTCCAGATCTCTTGTAAAGAACGGGTTTCTGAGAACTCCCTTTATCCAGCAGCACTCTTACTTCCTGATTGTCGTGCAGAGCTTATGCATCTGAGCAACACTTACTGGCACATCACTTACATGTGGCTCTTCTTGAGGCATGTAAGGTAAAACATCAGCTGAGGGTTTTTAAAAAGCGCAGCCATTTTTGTGTGCCTCATCTGGTCACAATAATAAATAAGGCTCCTCTCCCACCACTTTCTGATCTTAGCCTGTTTTTCTCATCTATTTTTTCCGGTCACTTATCACTCTGTTTTCCCACACACAATGCTCCCCAAAGTTTCATTTGGGTACCTGGTTTCTCAGTGGAGTAACTGTTTAGTGGGCTTTGGGGGGTAGCCGAGTTAATCTGTAACAAGAAGAACTTACAGTCTAGTAGCACCTGGGCTGTCAGGAAGTCTGTTACTTTCTACTGGCTAATTGGACATAGACTGTTCATAAGCCCAAGTCTGGACCTCTTAGTAACTGCAGTAGTAAATGTTTATATTCTGGCAGGGACTGGGACCCGTTGAGCTGGGTGCTGTACAAACCCAGAATAGACACCCTACTCTGGAGGGAAACCAGTCCGAAATTCCCATCTCCAGGCTCTCGGCCCTGGTCTGGCTGTGCCAGTCTGTAGCGGAGCTAATTGCTCCTGGCTGAGTCTGACTGCTGCACAGAACTGCTTTCCATATCTCTTAACCAATCTGCTATTTTCTGGTACCTCCGCAGTCACTAATTAAATCCTCTTTCATTGCATGATAGGCTGCGACTGCCTCCCTTGCATGCAAGGCAAGTAGTGCTCTCCATGCTTTGGTCATGCAAGGGTAGTCACCCTTCATTTAAAGCAAGATGTAAGCTCCCCATACCTCAGTCTTCACCCCCCTCCTCCCCACCAAGTAAATCAGGATCATCTAGGTTCCTGCCTCTCCATTCTGCCTCTAAGTTCTGCATGTTTGGAGCTGCAGTGCCCTATCTCTATTAAAGAGGTGGTGCAGGCTTCAGTCGCTGAAGTCCATATCTCTTAAAATTGCTAAACTAGACCCTTGGTTATCATATCCTCTCCTTGATGTGCACCAGGGTATGTGCAGATGTGCTCCTCCTGTAGAAACACATGCTGCTGGCTGTAGGCTCTCTGCTAATCATTTGAATGTCTTCTGAGTGGCCGCCCAAGTGCCCCACTTTCAGGGAACACCTGACACTGCTGGAGACAAGATTAGGACAGAGGAACTGTGGCTGAAGGGAGCTGGAGGCTGCCCAGAAGCATGAAATATAGACACTCTCTGCAGCAGAGAGCGGGTCACTGGCTATATAGGAAATTGTGCCCATGCCACAGAGCAGAGTGAAATCTACAATGAAATCCGCCAGGGGTGTGGCTTGAGAGAGGTGTTTTGTCTGAGGAATTAGCCCCTTCCCTTCTCGCCTGTTATGAAAGGGAGGGTCAAATCTTCTCATTTCACCTGTAAAGAGGAGTAGTGGTGATGGAGCGAGATGAGAGGAGAGAGCTTCCTACAGCACAAGGCTAATAAGAAGTAGGGACGTTAAAATGTGTTGATTTAAGTAAATGTTGTAACAGCTGAAAAATTCAGTGGTTATGTGTTTACACACAGGGGAGGCAGACATGGAGACACTCATACACCCTGCGCTGCAGATGTGGAAGCATCTGTGCAGGGCAGGGGCCTGTGTATAACTGTGAAGGTTAATGGATGAGCCCAGGCTCATGGGTTAACCATGTACACATTTACACTTTCACATCCCCAGTAAGAAGATGTATGTTGGATTTGTCAAGGTCATTACCTAATAAGACTGTATGAGGAAACCTTTCCCACTGAGGGGCAGTAATGGGAGATCTGTTTCATAGGAGGTACATGTGATTGGTTGGTGAAGGACCCCATGTGCTCCACAGAGTTGGGATCCAACATCTCAGCTTTTATTATAAAATAAAGCTTCTAACCTATATGGTTACAGCTATGTCTGCCTGAGGCTGTGGATGTAGGCTGCCGCAATAGCTCAGAGGTCAGTTCACCATGGTATTAATGCTGATGCACAGTATAGGAGACCATTCAGACCAGGGCCTTGTTAACTACTTGATTATTTTAGCTGAAACATCCAGCCAACGTGTGCATCCCAGCCATGTCCCCATGCCCTTTGGGTGCACCTGCCAGACTTGCAGCTTTTCCTGCCAGCTTCTATAAGAGCGACAGTTCTGCAGGGCAGCGTAACACTGAATTGAATTGAAGGCCGTAATTAGTGCCATGGGCCTTGCGTATTTCATACTTAACATCCTCCATTTTTAGCTGAAGCTGTGGCACAGTGTGTGGCGATTCCCTAGTGCTCAGAGGCATGAGGTGGTCTCCACTACAGAGGGTTTGGTGCCATAGCGCTGCGCCATTACAGTGGTTCTAGCCCTGCTGCCAGTGAGGGGCAGGGGCTGGGTGCGCCATGGCTTGTGTAACTAACACTGAGCCAGGAGGGCTCTTTGAGGAAGCTACTAGAGAGGGAGGAACGCGTTGGTTAGAGGCTGCAGCTGCCTCCAGAGCTTAGCGAAGGAGGCTCTTAGGCGAAGTACTCACTCGAGGCCCCGCCTTTTGGATCCCGAGGTCCGGGCTTCAGTGCCTGCAGACCCACCTTGTGCTTAGCAGAGGCTGCGGCTCCCCACCTCCTTTCTCATCCGGATCTAAGCCCGCTTCACACGCCAGGAAGGGGCTAGACTCGCGCCCAGGGCAAAGGCCGGGCCGGCCGCCCCGCACGCCAGGGGGTAACGCTTTGCTGTGGCTCCGCGGCCCCCGC